TATTCTTACCCCAGTGCTTCCCCACGATTGAACATGTCTCACTCTAACTTGTGATTGAAGGTCGACCTTAACGGGAGCTCTTGAATCGATTAGTGAAATTGAATGATCTGAACATTAGAGAAAATAGTAAGAAGGTGATGTAATCTCAATACCTATATTCTAGTTTTATTGAATTACAGTTGTTGACTATACGATTTTTTTATTAGTTCTAGTTTTATTGAATTACAGTTGTTGACTAAACGAATATTTTTAGCAGACTGAAGATTAAGCTCAAAGTTTCCTGACTTATATAGACGCTACTCTCCGTATAGTACGTCAGTATAAACCCTTACATCTAACAGTGCTTTAGTACATAAAGCGCTGTAAAATACGAACCACTAAACTATACTTGGGTAAAATCCTCCAACATTTAGAACACCTTCATCTACTCTTCAGTAAAATACTCTGCCATTCTATTGACTCTAAATGGTTGAGTTTGAGAGACTACAGATCTCAAGCAAGTTTCGATAGCAAGAAAACTCTTTTTCTTGAACGTAATCACAAGAGTTGCGTCACTCCGAAAAGCGGATCAAATTATTAACCACATCATGTTAATAATACATTTGCTCCTATGAGAGCATTGCTCCGAAAGCCGATACCTAGGAGATAATTTATCTGAAAGCCAAGCAACATTAATTGATCGGCGTAAGAGCGAGTAGCAGAGATTATGCTATAGAACAATATCTAAGTGTTAAAGTGTTCTGCAAAGGGTTTCTCCTACTGACCATATGAGTTTTCAATCTGGCCAACCCAAGCGGTTGAACACTAGCACAAACACCTTGAGTATAAAACCAAAGGTGAGGTTGCAAATAAATATATACAATTACGCTTTATTCAAAGACTACCATCTTACACTCTAACAGAGTTTACACCTCCCCAATGAACAAGACACAAATATGTCGAGTTCATTCTTTCAACGATTTTCAAAGTTGAGCATTACGCAAAACCGGATCACTAGCAAATTGGAATGCACGCTTCAAAGCAGTCCAACGTGTAGTTGAGAAACGATCCTCCAAACTCGAGTCCAGGACATCTGTGACAGTACCAGGGCCTTCACCTCAAACAGCCATCGACACGATCTCTTTCCCATATAAACCAAAACGACTATTATGCGTATCCAACCAACGCTTGCCCATGTCCATTGTACGCATAGCAGTAACCAATTGTGTCAATTCATGAGCAGTAGCCTTACCCACACCAGAATACCGATAGACCCGTACCAAATAGGGTTCATTAAGACGCGATGACAGACTGTTCACGAGTTGTATTCTCTAATCGCTCCTGAAGCTGATCCCCACGCAATGTATGCACCTTGCCATCAATCCGGACCTTATACATACCCTGCGATTCACGCATCACCGCAACACCTCGTGCCATATAAGATTTCTCCAACTTATTGCCTTCACGCGTCGCTAAACGCAATTCCAACTGACCTGGTTGCCATACTGGAGCCACTCGCTTACGTTTATCGGCTGCCCTCAACTGTGAACCCTTCACAATCTCATCCCTAATAGAAACGGCTCGATCACGTACCGCTGCTTCACTCAATACTTCCAACCCCAAAACATCCAATAAATTCGCCCGAAGTACCATATCAACTTGCGTTGTATATTGCCGCCCTAACCAATCAACAATCGTACGCAGCACACGCCCAGCACGCCTATTGCCCTGATGCCAATTAACAGACACATAATGGCACTCCGCACCCCTCTCTGCCCAAAAATCTTGCATCTCATCGGAGACAAAAGGGCCACCCTGATCTAATACCACACGCTTCGGTGTACCCCAGGGAAGAACCTGCTGCTGCAGAAACTCCAACACACCCTTAGAGTTTTTCTCACTAGCCATATATGGCCTACACCATACCATTCGAGAGAACTGATCAATAGCAACCACCACTCCTTCAAAACCATGTTCAGTTTTGGGCAATGACAAGTGATCCATGCCAATCCACATCCCCACACTAATCGGTCTGTCAGGTTACATAAACACCAACACCCCAGTATCACCTCGTGTAAGATTCGGTCTATCAAGGCGATATTAACGCCTTAGAGTAATTAAACGCGTAGGTAAAATCTAAGTATCGTGAAATTCAAAGTAAATAAACGAAATGAGTCTTTTAGTAAAGTTAGGATTGCCTCGTGAAAACAGCAATACTCTGAGGGATTGTGAGGCTGAGATATTGATCAGTAATCCTCTCCGTACTGTTTTCGCCGAAGGGATTTTATTTAGTGTTTCGTTGTCGCTCTAATAGAAACTAGGGTATGTTTCGTTGGGGCGAATCCGAGAGACTCATAAAATCCTATCTTTAGAAAAAAAATAAAAGTAAAAAGTAAAATACTCTTGATGTCCTTAGTTATTGCATTAATCAATAACTTGCCACTTATCAAGAATTACCGACTTAGCCTTCATCAGACTGGCACATCTGGATGGCTGAACGGAGGATAAACTAGGTAACGTTAATAGTCCCTAGAAACCTATATTCGGTTGAGCCATTTCGCTACCGAGGTATTCAGATATAAATAAATTTGGAAAGTAAATATAGTTCTATTAATAGAACTAGACCAACTCTTATGTTTGGTATTTTACTGGGGCCATTTAATGGCCTCATCCAAATATTTGATATGTAAAATGGAAAAGGTATTAATTAATAAAACCGTTAAAAACTATTTAGGGAACTTAAGTTCCTCGTACTATTAAGAGTACGTTTATAGTTTACGTACTGCTTAAGAGTACGTTTATAACATCGAGTCTAATGTAGAGGCCCAGCTATTACACTCGCAGCTTAGTCACCTGCTGACACGCAACACAGCTCTTCAAAACCCCAGCCACTTGCGACTTCTGTACCTCATCACTATATTTCTGATGCAAGAAGGCAAACGTACGATCAACACCAACCTGCGCAATTGTCTGGTGTATCAGATTGATAATATAGTCCTGCAACATGCGAATCAAATCTGACCACACACCCAATCCCACACAATCAATTTGTGCTGCCGCAGTCTCTTCTGGATCCCACCCACGCAACACACCACTGTCCACCACCACATAAATCTGCTGCTGCAACAGACGTAGTCAAACCCGAAAATCAGAGTCTTCACTCTCAGCCGCAGTACGCTCAAGAAACACCAAGCGTTCCCTCAACGCAACCATCCGCGCCATACGATACTCTACATTTTTATGCACAGCTCTCATCGACATGTCTACATTAACATCCACTTCAGGCAACCCCATCTGTGCACAAGCCACAAACTTCACATTCTCAACCGCTATAGGAATCATAATCGGATCGAACCACCATGGCATACGACTGAGACCATCCGCAACCCCATTTTGTGCTCCCTCGAGATAAACCACATACATATCAAAAGAACGAATATGCAAAACATTACGATATCGTCGCTTCCCTACAGGACCCATAGAGAACTCAAATTGCATCAAAACACTCAATAAGGGTTCATGATCCATATCAGCCCGCACACAAAAAGAGATCGTCAAATCTAAGGCTCAAATTTCTTGAACCCATAGGCCAAAGCAATCAATTCACGATCAGTCTCAGATAGATTTGCATGAGAACCTATCTTAGAACTAACAAAGCCAACTGGCAGCCTTCGCCCATCCCTCCATACACAGAGAGACGCACCTACTCCCAAATCAGATGCATCAGTCTGCATCCTCAACTGCTCATCCTGAGCCGGCTCAGCTAACACCACTTGCGCCTTTAACAACTCACGCACCGCCAAGAAAGTATGCTCCTGAGGCTCACCCCAGCAGAAACGCACCCTCTGCATAACAAGATCACTAATAGGCGCCAAAATCTTGGAAACCCAGGAACATATTTCGCCCATCAGCCAAAACATTGATACAATGACCGCACTTGAGCCTTCGTATCTGGTCTTGGCATCGCCAACAACGCCTGCAACTTGTCATCACTAATCATAGACCCCTGTGTCGTCACCGATCGTCCCATAACAACAATAGGTTCATCTTGATAAGCAAAATTACATTTCGCTAAACGCAGCTGGATGCCCTTCTTCTTAAATCGACATATCATCTCAACAATATCAATACAATGTTTGTTTGCATCATTCGCACCTAAGCCCGTATCATCAATATATGTTTTACACCCACTTATACCCTCTAAAGTCTCATCCATCAACTGTTGAAAAACAAAGGAGGCCTTTTTAAGCCCAAAAGGCATCCCGATATATTGAAACCGTTCACCCCATGGTGTCAAGAACGCAGTTACTCCTCTACTCTCCGGAGCTACCATCAACTGCCCAGAACCATTCCCTGCATCAACATTGGTCTTATACTTGAACTCACGGACTGACGACAAAAATTCATCCTCTGTCGGAACAGGATACATCCCAGCCTCCAGCTGATGATTAGTCCTCAGATAATTTATACACATTCGCCATTCCTTTGCTTCGTCATAATTAGATGTACCTCCAGGGACCTTAGGTACCAATTTCGGCACCGTGAGCCAATCCGTATTCAGCATCCGTTCAATCAACCCAGCCTCCAGCAAGGCATACACCTTCTGCCTCATGATCTGTATTAAACACATAACATTTTCTTTATACACCTGCCGCACAGGCACCTGCAACATACGATCACGAATAAGCCTCGGCTTTTTATCATTATATGCAACCTCCCTAATCTCCGCCACTAACATTGCTAACACCTCAAGACTCCTATCAGCATCCACAGCCAACTGGTCTAGCCCATCGCTCTCACTTTATACCCCGAATCCCACCCATCATCCTTCTGTATATGATCAAAGGGTGTAAAAAGAAATACCGCAACATGCTGAATATAATCCAAGACTGGTGCAGTCGCCTGCGTCTGAACCCACGTCCCAAAATCCTCAGCTGTCTCGCGCTCTATTTGCACTGGAAAGAGCGTATACTTTGTTATACCCTGTCGCCTCAGTACTGCTCCCGTGAGACCATGTAAATCTAACTCCCTACATCCAAACAATAAATCTGCTTCATACGGGACCAAACCATCACCCATGCATCAAGCTTCACCACACGCTCACCCACTAAAGTTGGCACCGTCACATCTAAATATCTCACTTGATACTCCACAAACATTGGTCCACCAAACCCATTCACCCACTCACCACACAGATTGTTTCTCACCGCCAAACCCAGATTCTCGGCCACATCTTTAGAAATCATAGACATATCTGCCCCATGGTCAATAAACGTACGCACATACTTGTCTTCTGTTGCCAAATAAGCATCAACCACGGGCAAAAGAGACCCTTCCAAAGCTGCAGTTGCCGCATACGAATACGTCTTCCCATGCACATCCAGCCGCTGTCCACCCACAACATCATTACTTGGCATAACTGCCATAGTCACCCCTGCCGCCACTGCCGGCTGCACACACTCATCTGGACAGTGTTTAGCAGAATGCCCTTTCTTGCTACATCCATGACAAATCACCTCTTTCAAGACAGGACATTCTCTAACATAATGCCCTACTTCCTTACAAAATTGCACGGACCACGCAACCTACTCATTGCGCTCGTACCTGCACCAGCTACCTGACGAGCCGCAGCCGCTTGAAACTGCTTCTGTTTTGCCTCCATACGCACCTGATGTCTACGATTTGCTTGATTTTTATCAGCCTGTTGCTCTTTCGCATACTAACGCATACACGTCAACTGTTCTAACACATCCGCCAAACCACCACTATTAAATAACTTCAAACCCATATTCTTACAGCTATACTACCATCAAACAAAGCTTTTACCAGACTCACCGTACGAGCTGACAAATCTTTCAAATCCTCAGGCCCTTTCTTCCAAGCATCAACATTATCCGCCAATACTAGGATAGATTGAAACCAATCATCATCCCTAAGCAACGGAACCAGCCACCTCGAACCATGCTGTCCTCCTTTGAATGCATTCTTTCGTAGTTGCTTAACTAATGCCTCATACTGCTGCTTATTCTGCTTCAACAAATCCTTCGACGCAGCTATCGCATCCTCGTCATCAGCCTCTAACTCACTATCCTCTACCCTCTCATCTTCAGACTCATCAATATCCTCAAATGCATCATGTTCTTTCAATGCTTTTATTTGCCTCATTCACCGCAATCACATAACGCGCTCTATTATCCTTCAATTCTCTTAACGCCAAAATTACTTTATCCGGCTTATTACGCCACAGACCTATTGATTTCGTAAAATCAGCTTGCGATTCGCCTATCTCAAACGAGTCCTTGAACATAGAATACAGAGCTGCTGCCGCCATCCTCAAGTCTTTCGGCTTTCTTCAAGTTCTAATCGCGTCTCAGGAGTGACCTCCTGCGAAATAAGCACAGCAGGTCTCGAGCCTCCCTTCTTCAAAGCCGTTTCATAGGCCTTCGTCTTCTGCACCCTAGCCTAGCAATCCATCAGCACCGTCACCGGCTCCCCTCTGACATGCTTCCACAATGGTTCATTCACTACTTTCTATACATACGCCATTTTCTACTAACGTTTAGTTGTAATCTCAAATTCCTATCTTCTAGTTTTATTGAATCAAAGTTGTTGACTAAACGAATATTTTTAGCAGACTGAAGATTAGCTCAAAGTTTCCTGGCTAATACAGACCCTACTCTCCGTGTAGTACGTCATTATAAACCCTTACATCTAACATTGCTTTAGTATATAAAGCGCTGTAAAATACGAACCACTAAACTATGCTTGGGTAATATCCTCCACCATTTAGAGCACCGTCATCTACTCTTCAGTAAAATACTCTGCCACTCTATTGATTCCAAATGATTGAGTTGACAGTGACCCTTCACCATTTTTTAAATTTTATTTAAACAGTACTCGGAAATTTATTTTTTTGGTATTCCAAACCGACCTGTATGCCTCCAGCACATGAGTTTGTTATGAATAGAAATTTCTCCCATATTGAATCATAGATAGCTGTAGAACCTGCAGAATGATATGGTAAGATATACTGCGTGATATGCCCATTACTTATGCTGTGAATTTTATATTGGAATCCAAATGTACCAGTATTTGCCCAGGTACTGCATTTAAGAAGTTCAACAGCCTTGGTTGTTGATGTAAATGAACTATTAGTATGATCAATTGATTGTATCATGACCAACACGGATTGCGCAGTATTTGGTAATGATTTTTCGAAGCAGTAACATCTCGGCTGTTAGAGTGTTTTAGTTCGATATATGAACCGATTATCGATGTGTATATAATCGTGCGATTAACAAAACTATAAATAAAGCAGCCGCAGGTAAGCACACTCGACCATGTATTCTGCCCAATGCTGAGTTTAACTATTGAAGAATCATAGTGTGTTCAGGCTGTTCTGAATAATCCACCATACCAACACTCGCTATAAATTTTTGTCTATTATAGTACAAAATTATAAATCAAGCAGCTGTTGTTAGGCACACCCAATCATGTACTGTTCCTAATGCCGAGTTTATATAGTTATCATGCTCAGACTGTTCTGGATAGTATCCCTTCCTGGCCAAGTAAAGAAGCATATATCTAAATCGGGGTTGTGCCTTCTGTATAGAGTCATAATTTAAGTACTATATGACCAGGTCACAAAAAGGAACACAACTACGCCTACTTCACATAGGGTGGCCAGGTATAGTGGTGTTGTATAGTTACTACACACAGTACGAAATAGTATGCCTATGTTAACGTACATAATCTATTCGATGCCAAAATACATACACTCCAAATAAACAACTCGCCCTAAAATCCCGTCTATTATTACAAGGCTGTGACCACCATATGGTACAGTTAGATTGAACCACCAACCCTTCATCACAACATCACGTACAGAACAACAAGTCGGCTATTATATATAATGAGACAATCTAGTTAAAAATGTATTGTAAAAGTGCCACATGTGGATACAAGATAAGTTGCTTACAATTTTTCGATAGTATGTATAGTGTGTGTGGAAGCAGTTGAAATGCAAAGTGTGTGAACATTTAAAGCATATTAACACGCTGATTTGAAAACAAGAAAAAGTAACACGTGTGAGGTGGGTTTATGCTTCTACGTTCCACGAAGGAAATATAATAATAGTACGAGCGATATTTCCAATCATACATTGGAAGTATAAATATACAAGTAGATTCGACTGACACACGTCGGTACGAGGTCGCATATGCAATTTACACGTCTTTTAGCTGCAAAACACTTGTCGATGTAAATGCGAACTCTGAGATAGATGTTCCCCAATAACTCAGATTCTATACGCGTTTCTCTTTTTCTCAGTATGATACAGTTGTAGAATCAGTGGAACTAAATCACAAGACAAGAAACATTAGAATATGAAAACAAATAATGGAAAATATATCCATAAATGAAAAAAAGTTTATAAATTATACCCACAACACGACTTATCGTTTGATAGACCCCACTCTATTTTATTTTTATTTTTATGTTCGCTACTACCTGTACGGGTGGTTGCTATGGTCAATTAAAATGTGATAGGTACCTACGCAGTACGCCACTAGTTGTCTTATTCCGTTCACATGGTCTATTTGATAGCATTCGAAAAGAATTGCAAAACAAATTTCGAAACTAAGCAATACTATGTTTATATGTTTGCCGTCATTTTAAGTTCAAAGCTTAGCTTCCAACCATTCGATACCATCCGACGCTATTGGGTTTCCTGCGTGCACGAATTGTCACTATGGTGCATTACTGTTGAAGGTGAAGACCATCTTTTGACGCAATTTCAGTCTAATAATTGGTACTGTCATTGACAAGATCGGGCGAAGTTGTCGGGTTGAGGTAAGCCATATTATAGACCGGGATATTGGACCATCGTAATTGACCCATCAGACATTTCTTGGAAAGTACAGTTTATTCGACCCATCGGTGCCCGACTTAAGTTTTATCCAAAAACTGGGTTTTTACAGTGTAACCGACACATAACCAAGTTATGGCAGGTAGCTTAGGGCTTGTGTTCATGATAGTTACGAAAGTTAGTGTCGTGAGATTAAAATGTGTTTGAGGCACACGGGTTGTATGTACTATACTTTTAAAGTCTTTATTCAAGGCAAAGAAAAAGATGGTGCCAGTCTAAGTATACATATGTTAGATTGTCCAGAAATGTAGACAATATTGCAAAGTCCCATCACACCTTTGAATAGTCAACTCTCAGTTTCGAGTTAAACCAACATTGTGGCAGAAGTTGTTACATATCATGATTCCGATCCTTCTGTGTACAACAAAAATAATAACAAACTGAACCGAACATAAATATGAACACTCGTGTATGTGCTAAGTATAGCGCCGCCATCCACCGTACTCGTTAGTGCGAGCGGCGCCAGACCGACGGTACCCAGAGCCTTCTGTCCGAAACCTGGGTCCGTCGTTTTATTAAGAACTTTGCTAAACTAAAATTGAATCCTCTGTTGTAGGGAGAGGCTGGGTAGATCTCCAAATGCCTAGGAATAGACTGAATGTCGATGCTTGCATTCGCAATGTGTGACTGGCTTATATATACAGCCAGCATTCACCACGGCCCCGCGTTTAAACATACCTTGTATACTATGATCCAATTAATCTCTCGGCCATATTTTACAGATAATAAAATCCCAGGTGATTTTATGTTTCACAAAAAATGAACACTCGTGTATGCGCCAAGTTCAGCACCGTCATCCACTGTACTTGGTAGTGCGACCGGCGCCGGACAGACGGTATCCAGGGCGTTCTGTCCGAAGTTCAATCCTCTACGGAAGCTCCACGCCTTCCCCGGCTACAAGTGTGTGTAACTTGGACAGCGAAAGCTAGAAGGTGGGAGGTTCGTTAGAGGGCAAGCCGTTCATGCTGATGAAGTGCGAGAAAGTCGTGGCTACACGCTTGTGGCCCTTGTCGGTACGACGCGAATAAATTCGGTTTACTTCGGATGTCCAGCGTTCTGTCATCCGATACGAAGTAAGTGTTCGCTGCATTGATTGGAATCTAAATTACACATGGTCAGTGTTTTCTTCAATTGTGCAGTGAACGTGTATTCTCATAGGGTTATCGATGTCCGTGCGAGTCAATTCACGAATGCACGGTACGGACTTACTATAGCCATAATCGCTGGTAATTTCGGTACGCATGTAGTAGTTGCTCGGTCGACATTAGTTTCGACACTGGCAAAGTGACTTTAGAGCGTAGTCATCAAACAAGCGTACGTCGTTGCCGCGGTGGATATGGATATGCTCCGAGTACGGTCAGTTCGCCAGCGCGCACAACGGTAAACCCCCTCACGAGAATGATAGTGTACAGCCGAACAGCCTGTAGATCGTGTCGGTTGCGGGCGATATATGGCATCAGTTGGCGTTGGATTGTGACAGGTGTCAACGGACGACGGTCGCGAATAGTGCCTTCAGCAACGCGTCTGCATCGTATGGCCTTCCGGAAGATTGCCACCAGTGGCCTGTGATGTATTGAGCGAAGTCGGTTCCAGATTCCTAACATTCAGCCAGCTACAGAACCAAATCCCGGGTAGTACATGTACTGGAAGAGCGCCCAATAGTACCTCTTTGGGGGAAGCGGGTTTTTGGCCACCAAGCAGTCCAGATACTAACTTTGTGCAATGTTTGCAGTACCCTTCGTGGATGGCCGAGTTGCGAACGTAAAGTTTATTTCGTCCGCCGTATCAGCGTTGTACCGAGTAGTTTTGATGCCAGATTGCGAGGCCTGATGATGTTCGAGCGGAACGTCAATCTGAGAGTGTCTGTTGCACTCTGTGGTGCTGTGTTTTTGAATATATATATATATACTATATCGATCGTTAGAATAACGAGTAATATGAGTGAGAGACGCCTGGTAGCGGTAAGTAAAATTGGAATGCGGCCAAAAACAATCACTGTATATTTTCAGTAAGGACACACTCGTATCACCCCCACGCAGCAAATGTTATGTTCAGGATATAATATATATATATTCGAAAGTTATCGATTGGGGTCAGCGGCCCGCAGCGAAGCGTGCTGTGAGTGTCTTTCCGTACACAGCCACTTGAGTATATATTTGGCTGTAGCTCTCTAACTTTCGACATTTCGTTGCGCGATATTGCATCTGACAAGCGTGTTAATACGTATTCAACAGTGCAATATGCTGCGGCCAAAAACAATCCGTGTATATTTTCAGTAAGGACACACTCGTCTCACGCCCACGCAGCATATTTTATGTTCAGGATATATATTATATATATATTCGAAAATTATCGATTGGGGTCAGCGGCCCGCAGCGAAGCATGCTGTGAATGTCTTTTCGTACACAACCACTTGAGTATAGATTTGGCTGTAGCTCTCTAACTTTCGACATTTCGTTGCGCGATATTGCATCTACAAGCGTGTTAATATACGCATTCAACAGGGCAATATACAGACAGTTCTACTTCTGTTAGATAGCGCAAAAAAAAACAAAAAAAACAGCATTCTTGGATATTGAACGATCAGCATGTAATGTCAGCGACGGCAGTCTGGGTGTCATAAAAATATATTCGAACGATGCGACCTTGAAACTCGTCACGGCCCAAAGCTAGCAGTTACACTACCACCATGAGCTCAAATGCACAAATAAATAAGGTTTGGGATCCGTCACGAGGTATTGAGTATGCATCATGAATCGGAATTTCCATTTTAAATGGTGGGCTCCCCACGACATGAAGAACTACTTATCCGTAGTCGAATTATAACCGCCTCCGCCGATGATGCTAGAGGCGTCTGAGGCTACGATCATATCCTCGCGAGGTAGTCGGGCAATCAGTGCTGTACCCGGTCAAGCTTTCAAAATGTAGGCAAGGGAAGCGAAATCGTTGCGAACCTCCCGAGGTACCCGCATATACTTGTGTTTTGGCCAACGTTTGCCCGTTGGCAGAAGCCAGTAAATTCGTTGTACGTAAGGCCGAGCCTGGAGGAATATTGTTAGTTAAATAACTTTCTCAGCGAAGGATGCGAGTGTGCCAAGTGTAGCTGTCGTCGTCAGTGAATGATAATCGAACAAGAGCAGATATTTAGCACATTTTGTCTCAGAGTTTCCGACTATTCGTCGTTGTATATTATATTATTTATGACATCAATCCATTCAGCAATAGGTTCGCCCCGATAACCTTTGCGGTAGAAATAGGTATATTTAGTGTTCAAGTACAGACAAGACAATGCGGATTTTCTACTTGTAGCGGCCTGGGATATGCATGAGAGAGAAGTCATTCGCCCAACGACCTGATGTCATATAAGCTTCGCGGAGGAATTAGCCAACAGCTTTTGCAAGTCGTTCATAGATGGCAGCTGAACTAGCGAGGCCAAAAGGTAGGCATACCTCAAAACACAATAGGTTTTCCACTGAAAACCAAGCAGACCAATGGCATCCTTGTGCACAGGAATTAATTGGAATGCGCCGACGATGTCAATGACACTTATGCTGGTGCCATGAGGACATTCGTTGATAATGTCTAAAAGGAGCGGAGGATAGTGTATTTGATAATCTCGTACTGGATTTCAGCATTCACGCTCTTCATTGTTCCCTTGCGAGGCTAAGATAAGTCATTAATACGTCGACAATTCTGAGTGCCGTCTGGTCGAATTGATATTGCTTGACTCGAAGGTGAGATACGATAACACTTAATTTCGAGTTGATCGCGTGTAAAGGGGCCAATTGGTGTGCCCGCTTGCAAATCCGACTAAATTTCAGCCAGAAATCCGACTGAATTCCAGCCAGATTTCCTGCGGTATTTTCGTGTACGGCTTTATGAACTTTTGTATATTTAAGACTTATCCCTAGCAAAATAATAGCCAAAACGAGCCCTTTCTATCAACAGCGGTTGCGTTTGGTACTGTTTGCGGTGTCTTTAACTTATGTACATGTGTGTGCGCATGGTAGGAACCGACCGGGGTCGAGGAGTTGCAGGCAACGGCCTACGTTACTCATATTGGTCAGATTTGTGCGCGTTGGCCGACTGAATTCCAGCCAGATTTCCTGCGGTATTTTCGTGTACGGCTTTATGAACTTTTGTATATATTACGATTTATCCCTAGCAAAATAATAGCCAAAACGAGCCCTTTCTGTCAGCATGCGAACAATGGTGTCATTTTCAGAGGGGTCATACACTAATAGGGCGTTGGCAACAGCGGCTGCGTTTGGTAATGTTTGCGGTGTCTTTAACTTATGTACACGTGTGTGCGCATGGTAGGAACCGACCGGGGTCGAGGAGTTGCAGGCAACGGCCTACGTTACTCATATTGGTCAGATTTGCGCGCGTTGGCTCCATGCGATGCCTTGTCCTTGCACACGGAGTTCGAGCACTCATGCTCGTGCCTGTAGTTGCGGTTGGAGCAAGCGCCATGACTGAAACGAAGACAAACACCCCTTGGCTGCCCATTTGAATTGTTCTGCGGATTTCTACGACTGTCGCAGACGTAGAAGGTAATCTCTATACTGCAGATTATGCAGTTTCAAGGTTGGCACAGAAATCGACTCTGGTGTTGTCCAAGTAGGAGCGATGTTCCACATTCAGCCGAGCTACGGCACTGGGTGTGCATTCGGTGAGATACTTACAGAGGGGTATCTGGCATGCGATATGATCGAAACGAGCTGTTTTATCCTAATCAAATTTCTCGTAGTGGAGTATGTTCAGCCCTAGGCAGATATGCGAGACACCCATGACATCTGCTGCGGAAGTGAAGGTCTCCTTCTTGACCCTCAATTTGGGAACTCCTGAATCTCTAAATGATGACTCAAATGCTTTCTCACGAATATGAACTGGACGCATGGCACGTTCCACTTCTTTCAGTGTAAGCATGTTACCTTTCACCAGTTTGTCTCTTTGCTGTTCTGACAGTGTCGGCAGAAAGGACCAGAGAACTGTATCGAATTCCAACTGAGTGCGGTTCGTGTTTCCATCGCAGAGGATGGCTAGCTACACTTGCATACACATCAGTTGTTGTGCATGTTCGGCAGATTGCTGTGCAAACAGATCCTTGACTTGGTCTTGGAACTGGAGCAGTATTATGGATGCAACCAAAGTTCCCTTGGCGGTTGCGGGCTTCTTGCCCTTCTAGTTCTTGTCCGTTTTGGGCTGTTTGCTTGTTCCTGTTTTATTGTTATCAGCTTCCCGGTCCTTTTTCTGTTTATCGAGCTCAGCCTCGTCGGTGGTACGTTTGTGAGGGTTCGATGTAGGCTCCTCAGGTTGGGGGCTGTCAGCAGATTCCTCTTCCGAGCCTTTCACCTGATATATTTCTTCCTCGGTGGAATCCGCTTGTTCCTCCTCTCTGAGAGGCAAACCATAGTTGTTAGAACTCATAGCTAAATCGGCAAACGTACGGCCTCGGAATAGACTGAGCGTCTATGCTTGTATTCGCATTGTGCGACTGGCTTATATATGCAGCCAGC